AATAAATGACATCCTAAAATGTCTAGAAAATATTTTTGTAGGATTTTATCAACTTTGGAAGTATTTTAAAAAGAATTAAATCAAAACAGATACAAAACAAAAATAAAAAAAGAAAAGAAAAGAAAATAATATAACATGTGGTGCAAATAGTAAACTAAAAGCATGTAAATCCAAACTGGGCTCAAACAGGGGGTGCCAGAAGCAATTGATCCCAGATCCAAATGGAAACAGTCAACCAGCAAGGACTGATTTCAACCACATGATGACCTGACCAGTCATACAATCCAAGGATCCACATCAAGCCACGCGTGCAGACAATTTAAAAAAAAGCAATTAAATCAAAGCCATCATATTAAACCCAGTCAAACAATCAGACGACTAGGATATAAACTCATGAAACGCATCGTTTCATTAAACGCCCAGTCAACGAAATCTCCACCACATATTATGATTACCAAACAGACATCCAAGGGTCCACGCGTTGCCACGCTATAAAATGAAACTCAGCATAAAAAGCAATTAAATGAGGACCATGAGATCAAGGTCAATTCAAACAATCCAACAAGAATCCAACAGCCACGCACTATCTTCCCCATTCAAACATGAAAAACGGAGGGAAAACCAGGTGACTGGAACCACTGTTCCGGTCATCTTCTCCGGTGAGAACTCCGGCGAGGCTATGTCCAAACTCAACCAAATCAAGCAAAATCAAGGTCAAAAATCATCTACATCTCATGCAGAATCCAAATCCATAGTTCATTTTAATTTTCAGTGGATAAACAAGCCAGATCGAAGCCAAACAGAAAACACATGTCATGTTAAAATGTTCACAACCAACACTCAATTGCGTCCAGAATCCAAGCATACATTTCATGCATCATAAACACACAAAAATGGCGCGCAAAATCTTCATGAATAGAGATAAAAGTTGAAAAGTGATTTACCTAGTGGAGTGCTTCCACTGAGCCTTCAATTCTTGATGAAGCTTGATGGAAAACACCCAGAAACGATCCTTAACCTTCACTGAAACTGTTTGAGTGCTTAATTTGGCTTGAAATTGATTGAATCTGGAAAATCGTATTTCATTTTTTCTTCATCTTTTTCAACTGTGTTCTTTCTCAATTCTCCTCTAATGCATTGCTCATGATCCTAAGATTATATATGATGGATTGGTGAAGGTTTGGAGCCCAATTGCAGCCCCTAAAATCCCAATCAAATTTCAACTTTCCTTGTGTTGGTGAACTTGCAAAACCGTGTATATGGAGCTGTACATGCCTCAAACTTGATTCCAATAACTTGCACATGGGGTGAATTGATCACATGGCCAAGAATTGCCCCTTGTTTTGATCTTGTGGTTGAATTTGCATTTGTTACTTCATGGTGAAGCAAACTTGGAAATGGCACACCAAAACTCCTCAAATTAAAATTCTAAAATTGCCATTGTTCTTAGAATGATTTTGTCACTCAAAATATGTACAAACTTGCACAAAATTGATCCAATATGATTTAATTTGATTTTAGTGCTTTTAATGACTTTTCATGAAATTTCCTTCATCCAATCTTCCATCTAAGCCAAATCAATGATTCCTTGATGTTTGGTTGAACAAATGAACCCATTTGGAGCAATTTTCATGTTGAGAAATATTTCATTTGAAGTATGCAAGATAGTGAAATGGACCTATAATAAAAATGACCTGTAATCCTGCTTTCCCAAAATACCCCTGCCTTGCAGGCCTCATAACTTGAGTTCTACAAATCAGATGAAGGACTTCTAGTACTCTTTGGAAAGCTAAGATCACGAGAAACAACTTTCATTTTTTGGTTAAGGTGAGGAGAAACATCCTTCTAGGTCAAAAGTGGCTTGGAAGTTGGTTGACTTTTGTTGACCAAAATCACATTCATCTGAGGACCTGTAACTTGCCAGCATCATAACTTGAGTTCTAGAAATCAGATGAATGACTTCTAGTACTCAAAAGAAATCTAGAAACATGCTCTACAAGTTTCATGTTAGCGTCAAAATGATATGAGACTTGTATCTTGAGATAAGTGGTCTTGAAATTAGGCACTAAAAATGGGATTTTACACTGAGAACCCTAATTTAGTAACTTCTCACACTCTTGATTCTTCTCTATTTGATCTTGAAATGATATATTAGGCATCTCAACACCACATTCCATGACCAAAAAGACTTGGAATTGAGTCTTAATCTCCTTCAATTTCACAATTGATCGAGGGTTGACCAGATGAAAACCCTAGATGCAATATTCTTGACTGTGGCTTCTTCCACATGACACAACAACTTGAAAAAGCTCCAACATGGCTCTCAAAGCACTCCATGAGCTTTCTTAGCATCCTATATCCATAATCATGAATTCATAATCTTCTGATGATCTTCAACTGGTCTCCAAGTTAGGAGCTGACCCACATACACCCATCAACTCTCTCAAAGAACACTGACCACTTCTTGATGACCTGATGACCATTCATGCTTGAGTAAAACCCCTTTCTTAGGCTCAAAACCCCTGGTAAACTCGTCTTTCTATGCACAACCTCCTGATCCCCTGCCAAATGAACAATGTTATGCAATGCAAAGGTTAGAACAATGCAAAGAAACAAAAGCCAGTTAAAGAAAAAAGTTGGGCAAATTTTGGGGTGCAACAGCTAATTAGACGAAAAGGACTAACATGATACGTTTTAAAGAGTTAAGAGACCAATCTGGCACAAAAAATAATTAAGGGATCAATCTGAAAATAAGGGTATAGTTTATGGACCAAAATTGATATTTTGCACACACACACACGCGCACACACACACACACACACACACACACACACACACACACACACACACACACACGCACACACACACACACACACACACACACACACACACACACACACACACACACACACACACACACACACACACACACACACACACACACACACACACACACACACACACACACACACACACACACACACACACACATATATATATATATATATATATATATATATATATATATATATATATATATATATATATATATATATATATATATATATATTGAGCACTAGGCACAGAATGTGTCACTCATGTATAGTCCAATATTGTATTCATTGATCCCTGAGTATACTTGATAACAACAAATAAGCCCAATATCTCATATCAACTTATTTGAGTTCAACCATGCATTTGACAGTCATACTCTATCAATGGGCCCACAAATATTATTCTCGTATATGTAGGTTGGGGAAATCCAATCTAGGTCACTCATGTCCCTGAACATGATTTGTAAAGTTCTCATCAACCATCTTTATGGTCATCTTGTTTAGGATAATGTTTGTTTGACAATAAAGTACTCAACTTCACATCTAGGATCCATAGTGGTTTTAGGTCAAAGGTTGGTATACACCATTATTACTATGAGTATAACTTATGACACGTACTTAACAAACTATATAGTATTATCATGGTAAGTCGATTGGGAAAAAACTCTTTCAATAACAAAAAAATTTCATACTACCCACACTTCTCAACCTAACAAAAATTGTGAAGAACTTCTGTAAACATAATACAATTTATCTCTGCCTAACACCCACTTTGTTCCAAAAAGGATAATAATTAATTATGTTATGTATGCACAAACAAGAATTTAGTATCATTTTATGTTCATGACATGCACGGCCGCCCCCATGATTAATTAAGTCATTATTTACACTTTTCTTCCCTACTATGACATCAACCAACAGCCACCGTTAAAGTGCTTCAAATAATACTAAATTTAGTGTCATTTTATGAAAGACTTTGTTCTTCAAATGCTGCAACGAAATATAGTGTCGTTTTCGTATGTGCTTGTTAAGTTTAATTAATATAAAATTTCAAGGAATAGACAGAAACATGTAAACTATCTAATCCAAACAATTAAGCCGCGTTGGCACTGATCCATATATATATATATATATATATATAATCTTTTGGATGTTTCACACCAAATCAGTTGCCTAAAAGTTTGCTTTAATGGAATTTTATTTTTGTTCCATAATAGTTTGTCCTTGAGCTAATTCCACTTCCCTATATTTGGTATGTTACTCTTTGCTCAATAAAATAACAAAAGGTCGTATTAACTTGTATCTTAAAGAGCATAAGTTAAAAGAAAATAAGTTAACAAATTTGTTTGTAGTAAATTTGTATTGAAAAAACAATTAAAAAATTAATTATATATTTTTATTAAAGTTAATGCATAATTTCTAAAACAAATTTTTTTAATTTAATTTTTTATTTGTATTCTTAATATCAGTCAGTAATAAATTAAATTACTACTAGTAACATTGATTTTGTGTAAAAAAACACAAGCGGACATTAGGTAGCACCTTTAAAAATAAGCCCCGGTTAAAGTATTTATATTAGACAACGTTCTATTATATATGCTTTGATTGTGTTTATTAAAAAAATATTATTTAAAAAAAATATATTAGATAACGTTTTTGTTTTAGATAGCTTTTAAAATAAAAATATGCTGTCTTAAATTTATATATTAGGCCGCACTCAAAAATGAACAAGAAGCGATTAGGTAATATTTTAGGCAGTGTCAACTATATATCAATTAATATAAATTATCAAAAGTCTTAAATTACTTTTTTGTGTTAATAAAATTTATACTACATTAAAAACTGTTTAATAATTAGATAATGAATCAATTATTCTCATTCTAAATCAACCACAACGTGCTAGGTGTCTTCGTCACATTTACTCATTTTTTAACTTTAACTTTCTCATTTTTCTCAAGATTAATAACCTAAGGGATAAAAACTATCAGCAAGCATACGAAACATGGGTTGTGTTAAGGTTTAGTTGATCATCATCTTTATCTTCGGCTTAAATTCCTAGCCTTAGGGCTAGGGGCCTTGGTAAACTGTGGTGCTCCGCTTCAACTTTAACTACTTTTTCAGCACTTCAACAACTGCTTTTTCAGTTTCGGGTATAAGATTGGAAACATGTCTCAGTCACAAGATTGGATGGAAATCAGGAGGGAGAAGAACAAGAACACTGAAAGAACCTGTAAAAGATCGATTTGGACGGCTAGAGTAGATAAAGATAACATGGAGGAGGGAAGTAAAAGCGACTTATTTTTCTTCACTGAGTTCTCAGATGATCATGAGGAAAAAGATATGTTTCATATTTTCAAAGAATTTGGCTTAGTACTAGAAGTGATAATATCGACAAGAAGAGATATGAGGGGAAAACAATTTGGTTTCGTTTGATTCAAAAACATTGGTGACAACAGGATCATGTCTATTAAACTAGACAACATTATGATCAATTGTAAAAAACTACATGCTAACATTCCAAGGTTTCAAAGAAGAAATATAGGGTCAAGAAATGAAAATGACATTCAACATTTAAAGAAATCAGCGGACTTTGACAAAGGAAAGAACAAATACATGGGAGGAATGAGGAGACAAAATATCAGACCTAATGTCTCTTATGCACAAGTGGTGGGAGGAGTCAGAGAGGCTAAGTATAACAATCTGGTTGGACAAAGACAACAAACTAATAAAAACTTTCTCAACGCAAAACTGTCATTTGCACATTTACAATTTAATGTCAAGAAGGAAGATACATTGAGATTTGAGAAAGCATTTGTCGGGGTGGTAGAGAAATCAGGATCGGCGTATAACATTCAAGATGAACTACTTACTGAAGGATTCTTCAAGATTAAAGCAACACCTATGGGGGCCAATCTGTGCCTGCTAGAAGAATGGGTTGAAGGTGAGATAATGAATCTGATCAAGGAAGAGGTGAGTTGGGTATCTCGCTGGTTCTCTAAGCTTCATTCATGGACTCCTTCTGACGTGGATAATGAAAGACTCATCTGGATGCGGTGTTACGGTCTGCCTGGTCATGTTTGGTCCTCTCATTTCTTTATTTTTATGGCTGGTAGAATAGGTGTCTTCGTTAGGTCAGATGAGGAAATAGAGACACTTAAAAGAATGGATGTAGCTAGATTTTTTGTTAAAACAAAATTCACCATCAATCTGAATGAAGTATTCAATGTTGAGGTTAACAATAACATTTATAGGATCAAACTGATTGAGGACTCCCATGGTTCGTTGAGAATCGATCCACTGAAATGTAATAATAAGTTACAATCAGAATATGGTTCAAGCTCTAATAGTGGCAGAGATGATGATAACTGGGATGATTCTTTAGAAGGGTTATCAGATGACGACAGAGGATTGTTGCCGGAAAATGCAGTTAACGGTGAAGAGAAAGATGAGAATTCCAAGGATCCTGGTAACTTAGATAACAACATAGGTACTCAAGTGGCGTATGGAGAGACGCGAGGTAGGTCTGCTATAGGAGCAGTTATACCTACAGACATGGATATTAGTACCAAAAAGTGTAGTAGAGGCAAAAAAATTTGTGGACTTGACTTTTCAACAGGTAATACTTCAGGTCAAAGAATGTGAAGGAAACAGATAATACAACTGTGAAGGTGGGTCCCAGCAATATGGTGTCATATAATAAGGATCTGGCGGATAGGGGTACCAAGGAAGCATACAATTAGATGATGGGCCTAAGATGAATTTCAAAGTGAATGTGGATCAGTTGGGAGATGGGCCAAAATGTATATCTAAGCCTAGGAAGGCGAAATCACTTCTAAACATTTATGACAACTTAAAGATACCGTTTTCAACCCCATATTACTTTATTCTGGATTTATCTGAAAAATCAAGTTTGGGACCTTCCTTTCAACAAATATTTAATTCTAGCCATATCAGCTCATTTGTGGAGGATTCTTTATCTCATTACTCTGGAGGCTCGGTATTATGCTGTGATTCAATTGGTGATTCTGATGTGAATCAGAGCAACTCTCGCACTCTACGGAAAATTCAACATGCCCCTCAAAAGATAAGGGAGTCACTAAAAAGTTAGGGAGTGAAGGTGATGAAGATGATGAGGCTTTTGAGAACATTATCAGGTATTGGGAGACCAATGATAGAATTCAAGTTCAGAAAGAGGCTGCAAAGACATGTAAATGAATTTTTTTACTTATAATATTTGTAGATGCTTTTGATTGGCTGCATTTTGTGGCAAAACATTAGAGTGTATATGAATGTCATGACTGATGTTATGACATACACTAAGAGTATTCTGCAGGGTAAGTGAAGTTGGATGTCATGACTAGATGCTGTAACATTGATCGTATGACATCAGGCGCGCAATTTTAGTTTTCTGGTATTTAGAATGGGGAAACTCAGGCTAGAATACAGGAAATATTTTAGAAGCTCAAGCTGGAAGTCAGGAAACATTTTAGAAGCCCTGGAAAAATGAAATGTTCCTGACCTAACTGGTAAAGATGCAGATTCGTGAAGAGAGGTTTGGGTAAACCTAAATTCTGCACAAAGGCCTAAAGGATATCTGCTGCTATAAATAACAAGAGGATGAACCTTAATAAAGTGGAGAGCTAGCAGAGAGATTAAAGAGGGTATCTTGTGAGTGAAGAGGTTTGCTCTTCACGTGTGTCTAGGAGTCTTAGGATTCCTTGTTTGCCAAGCAATTGTATGCTGTATAATTTCTTTGGTTATTGTGTATGAACAGGTGTGTTCATTGTGTCACTCAAAGCTGTTAAGCAAGAGTGTGTGTCACTTGATCAAAGATGTGAAGCAAGATCAAGGTGTGTTTGAAGTGTGTCTTCATATCTCCACTGTAATTGTGAATTGTTTTATATCACTGAGGTGATTGAGGGGGAGTGAGTGGGTATACTCAAGTCTAGTGGTCTCTAGGTTGAAGTGTCATTGGGTAGGTTTTAAGTGAAGAGTGCAAACGGGTTGTTTGACTCTGAATTAATTCTACTAATAGTGAATTTCCTCCCTGGCTTGGTAGCCCCCAGATGTAGGTGTGGTTGACACTGAACTGGGTGAACAATTACTTGTGTTATTCATTGCTTTCCATTTACAGCTTATTAGTAAGTCCAGTAGTCTGTGTTACATTGGATGTCATAATATCCGTGATAACATCTATTGTGTGCTTGCCAGAATTTCAATTGGCATCAGAGCAGGCACCCTGCCTGTTATTTTCTGGGTGAGATCTAGGGAAGATAAATTTTGGTACTATGGATAAAGACATAGGATTCACAAATAGACCACCAATTTTGGATGGCTCTAATTATGAATATTGGAAACCTAGGATGATTGCATTCTTGAGGTCTCTAGATAACAAGGCATGGAGAGATGCAAACTCAGGATGGGAACATCCAGTAAAGACTGATAAAGATGGATTAGTTGTACTTATACCTGAAGAAGAATGGACCAAAGAGCAAGAAGCCTTGGCTCTTGGGAATTCTAAAGCTTTGAATGCTTTATTCAATGGTATAGACAAGAACATCTTCAGACTAGTACATCATTGTGAGCTGGCTAAAGAGGTTTGGGATACTCTCAAAACAACTCATAAGGGAACCTCTAAAGTCAAGATGTCAAGACTTCAAATGCTGACCACCAAGTTTGAAAGTCTGAGGATGAAGAAGGATGAGACTATTCATGAATTCTACATGAATATTCTTGAAATTGCTAACACCTCATGAGCTTTGGGAGAAAAGATGTCTGAAGAAAAGCTTGTGAGGAAAATTCTCAGGTCTTTGCCTAAAAGGTTTGCCATGAAGGTCACTGCCATTGAAGAAGCTCAAGACATATGAAACATGAAGGTGGATGAACTCATAGGTTCTCTCCAAACATTTGAGATGGGCATGTGTGATCAAGCTGTGGAGAAAACGAACAAAAGCATAAATCTTGTGTCAAAAGCTGGAGAAGTTTCTGATGAATACAACGGTGAAAGTGAGGAGAATTTGTCATAAGCAATAGCCTTGCTTGGAAGATAATTCAACAAGTTAATCAAGAGAATAAACCATAAGTCTAAACCTTATGCCAATAACATCTCTACTGATAACGGTAGAAAAGAAAAATCTGAAGATGGATCTAACCAAGGCAAAGGAGTTCAGTGCTATGAATGTGAGGGTTATGGTCACATTAAAACAGAGTGTCCCACCTATCCTAAGAAGCAAAAGAAGGGCCTAGCAGTCACTTGGTCAGATGGAGAGTTTGAAAGTGGATCAGAAGAAGAATGTGCTAAACATGTCACTGTTCTGAACTGTGTATGTATTTCTGATGATGACTCAAGTAAAGATGAGTTAACCTTTGATGAGCTTGCAGCCTCATATCAAAAACTTCATATCAGAAGTACAAAATTGTCTCAGCAAGGAGAGCAACAGAAAAAGCTCATAATGGAATAAGAGGATGAGAAGATAAAGCAGTTAGCAACAATAGACTCACCCAAAAGTGAGGTCAACTTTTTGGAATCTAAATTGGAGCAGATGGCAAAATCCATAAGGATGCTAAACCCTGGGACTGAGACTCTAGAAGAAATCCTACAGAATGGTCAGACATCAGGAAATAGGTCTGGACTGGGATTTGGTGGTAAACAGAATCCCATCTTGAAGTTCAAGAGGCCAAAACCTGACACTCAGAAGTCAAAGGGGATGTCACGACCAATGTCACAACATCAGAGAAACAGAAACTGGAACCAAGATTAAATTCCAAGGGTATAGGTGTTACCACTGTGGAAAACTTGGACATATTAGATCTGTATGCTTCTGGGTACATGGATTTCCTAGTTATCCTCATCAAGGCAAATCCAAACAGGGTGCTCATATCAAGAAACATCATCATGTTAAACCCAAGAAGGAAGCTCCTGCCAAGAAACAACAATGGGTTGCCAGGAATGTGGCTTTAGTAGCCCACACTTCTCTAAGGATGCCTACCAGAGAAGATTGGTATTTTGATAGTGGTTGCTCTAGGCACGTGACTGGGATAGAAAATCTCTTGGTTAACATAAGACCTTATTCCTCAAGTCATGTAACATTTGGAGATGGAGCCAGAGGAGAAATCAAAGGTGCTTGAAAACTGGATTATCATGGTGTTCCAAAACTGGATGATGTCTTGTTGGTTGAAGGACTGACTGTTAATCTGATCAGTATCAGTCAGCTATGTGACCAAGGCATAACTGTCAAATTTTCCAAGGGTAAGTGTGTGGCCATCAATGAAGAATGTGAGGAAGTCATGAGGGGGTCCAGAGCCAAGAACAATTGTTACCTATGGGAGCCCAGAAGTAACCCTAATGGCTTAGTCCAAAAAGAGAAGAAGGATCAACTGTGGCTGAAGAAAGGAAAACATCTTCTAAAAATAGAAAGGACCATGTCCAAAAC